GCTATGTACAGATATAAGCATATGCCTGCTTCTACTCCATCATGTCTTCTGAACCCTAAACTCCCGAAGCCCTATCTTTGACGCATGTCGTCTCAACCCTAAACTCCCTGAACCCTAAACCCTAAACCCCTAAACTCTAAACCCCTAAACCCTCAACCCTGTCTTTCCCACATGTCTGTTTCACTGCTGGAGCTCGTTTTGCGCCGGCCCTGCCAGATGCAAGCGGCTCTCAAAAACAGGCTAAGCATCCTAAACCCTAAACCCTAAACGAATATAGGGGTATACTCGACTTATATGGGGAAGGTTAGCAATGCCAATTCCCGAAACCCTAAACCCCAAGCCCAGACACAACCGTAGTAGATTCATCATAGTTTCCTTGCACTTCCCTTTAACGGGCCCTTCATTCAAAGAGAGCCGTATGCTCAGTAGTTAGTAGGTCAGGATGAGCTGACATTTTGCTCTGACTTGCCAGGTAGGTTTGCATAGTCTATGCACAGTTCAATCAGCTGCAGCGCTGGTGCTTCTGCGGCTCTTGCTGCTACTATACGGCTGCAGATGCTACCACTTCTGCTACTTGTCCTCGCACTCCTAATAGCTCCTACTCTTGCTCGTACCCCGGCTCTTACGGCTACTCCTGCTTGTGCTGCTACTGCCACTGGTATAGCTAGTACTGCTACTGCTACCTGCTGCATGCTACTTGCTATCTGGTACCTGCCTGCTTCCTTCTACCTGTCACCCGCACCGCGACCGCGGCCGCTGCAACTACTCTTGGCTGCTGCCCCTGCACTGCCACTGCCACTACCACTAGCAGTATCTTTACCGCTGCTCCTACTGCTACCAATACAGGGGCCTAAATAAATACTTACCTATACTATCGTAGGGGGTTCCTTGTTCTAGCTATAGTTATAATATAGTAAGTATGCCCCAAAACCCAAAACCCTATTCCAATTGTGAAGGCCCCTACATTACGGCTAGTGCTTTGCGGTTTCATGCTGGTGTCAGGCTCACATAGTGGAGTCCAGTGCAGGCTCGAGACGCTCATCCCCTAATTCGAAATGGGTAGTTCTCTAAATCAGGGTCCCTTTTTTGGATCCCCAATATAATATAGTGCGGCACCCTTAGCAAAAAGGACCCCAAAAGGGACTTTATTTTTTTAGAGGGCTACCCAAATCTTCTCTGCGCCTTTGGGGGCGGTTTGAACATGCAGCAAAGCTGCACTCCAGGCCACGCAGCTTCGGATGACCCATGCTTGAGCCCGAAAGCTCCCAAACCTTAGGGTTTAGGGGTTTAGGGTTTTAGGTGTTTGCGGTCTAGGGCTTTGGCTTTAGGGTTTAGGGGTTTAGGGTTGAGGGCTCAGGGTTTCGGGTTTGGGGGTTTGGGGCATTTAGGCGTGTAGGGGTTTAGGGTTTATTACTTGGGGCTTTGGGTTTAGGATTTACGGGTTTAGGGTTTCAACAAGGGCGAAGAAAAGAGTTCTGGTAGCAAGAAGACCGAGACAGACTTCGAATATCGCACTGCTGGTGCTTCATACATAGTGTCCAGCATCAAGATGTCCGGCACTCCGGCTGGACCTACTAGCGCTAAACCCTAAACCTAGTGACGTGGGCGTTCAGCATTTCAAAGCATGAAAAGGATGTCACAGAGCTCCAGTATGCCGCCACCGAAACCCTAAACCCTAAGCTGTAAACCGTTCCCCAACACCCAACCTTGAAACTTGCTGGGTTCTCATAATTAGTCGTAATCTGAAAGTTTAACCTTTTATTTCCCTGGCCTATTGGGGAAGTAAATACTGAGGCACCCGAAACCCTCAAGCCCAGATCTCTCCAACAAAAGTCAAGCCCCTTAACCCGAGAGTGTTGGGCAGCTGTGCAGGCACAGCTCAGAAATCAGCGCAAACAGACTAACCGTCTGCGAGGTAAACAAAGGGGGGTTAGTATTCGGCCTGGCGTTAAGCATGCTTTAACATACTATAGTACACTATAACATACTACGATATACGATAATAAGAGGATGTAGATTCGGGGGGGAGGGAGTTGACTTAGAGCCTAAACCGGAACCCTAAACCCTTAAACCCCTAAACCCTAAACCCCTAAACCCTACTCCCCTAAACCCTAAACCCCTAAACCCTAGACCCTAAGCCCTAAACCTCTAAACCCTAGACCCTTAAACCCTAAACCCCGANNTAAACCCTAAACCCGAAGCCCAGCTTCGGCTTGGGAGTTCCAGTTTCGGAGTTGACTTAGTTTTTCTTGTCGGCCATCGACCTTAGTGCTGCGATTGGGGTCGGGAGGCACTTGGGTAGTTGTCTAAATTAGGGTCCCTTTTAGGGTCTTTCTTATAAGGGTGCCGCACTATAATGGGGACCTAAAAAGGACCCTAGTTTAGAGAACTACCCACTTAGAGACAAGTGTGAGTTGCGTGCTTCTAAGACAGCCATGGTCTTGTATTAGTGGTCTGAGCGAGGTACTTTATTGGGTCATAAGGGTCTACAGGTGAAGCTACATCGTCAGCTGTCGCCATTCCTCTTCATTCAGGTTGCCGCAGGTTCAGGTCATTCCTGGGATGAATGGCTTCTATTATCCCATGTTGCAGAAGGTCACCTTTTGAAAATCATCACCTGAGGCTCCTGACAGGGCCACTGTATGCATCATGTCTGCATGCAGGCTTCTGAAGCGTCGATAGCACATCCTATTTGTGAAACCAGCCGCTGAGTCAGCGGCGTGCTGCGCATTGCTGTCCTATCTTATCATCTTATCTTATCTTTCTTCTGCGCTTGTGCGCGTGTTGGTTTTGCTTTATGAGCTGCACAGCATGTTGAGTCCAGATGTTTCCCGCTCAACGACCGCTCTATGTATTGATCTATCCGTCTGCCATTCGGTCTGTCTACGTCTGTGTCTATGTGCCTATGCATGTATGCATATATGCATGCATGTGTGCATGCAGCTGTGGATGGAAAGACGTATGTATGTATGTATGTATGTATGTATGTATGTATGTATGTATGTATGTATGTATGTACGCATGTGTGTATGTATGTATGTACGTACGTATGTATGTATGTATGTATGTATGTATGTATGTAAGTATGTATGTATGTATGTATGTATGTATGTATGTAGGTATGTATGCATGTGTGTAAGTATGTACGTCGGCATGCATGTATGTATGTATGTATGTATGTAAGTATGTAAGTATGTAAGTGTGTAGGCATGCAGGCATGTAGGTATGTAGGTAGGTAGGTAGGTAGGTAGGTAGGTAGGTAGGTAGGTAGGTAGGCAGGTAGGTAGGTAAGTACATTATTTTGCTGTAAAGAACAAGTAGATCAGTCCCTGCTGGTGTGTGGGCTCACTAGCAACTGCCAAACATGCCCACAGTGCTTCACAAGCCAACCTAAACCCTAAACTCCAAAGTGCCAGGCGTAAGAGATCTCAACCCTCAGCCGATTCAGCCCTGTCTCCCAACCCCCGGAAGCCTTGAAGCACTAAATTCAGAACCCTCAATCCATCAAAAACCCAACCCGGTTTAGGGTTTGGGGTGTAGGGCTTCAGGGTTCAGGCTTTAGGGTGGAGTCCTATATAGCCTGAAGCCCTAGAAGTCGTCGATGCCGAGTCCTGCATCCCGCAACCGTAAACCGAATGGATGAGTTCTGGGGCCCGCCATACTGGTAGCATGCAAATAAGACAGAAATGTGAAGTTTTCAGTGTTCGGGTGGTTTGACGCTTCACCTCCATCTTAATCCTTTACAAACCACCAACTCGGAGCCCTAGACGAAAAAAGCCCCGGGCACGTTGAAGCGCCTTTGAGAACTCCGCCGACAAAACCAAACAAACCCCAGACCCCCTTAAAATCTAACGAACCCCGAACCCTTTAAACACTTCAACAAGGAAACCTCAACCCTAAGCCCCTAAACCCCTACACCGTAAACCCTGAACCCTAAACCCTAAACCCTAAACCCATAAACCCCTACACCGTAAACCCTGAACCCTAGACTTGAAAACCCTACGGGTTTAGGGTTCCCCTAACGGTCCAAGTACCTAGTAATCATATACTCTCCCAAATAGTAACCTACATAGCTACTATCCGAAACCTAAGTACCTAAACCCTAAACCCTAAACCCTAATCCCCTAAACCCCAAATCCCTAAACCCTAAACCCTAAACCGACCTGATTACTGGGTCCTTTGAACCCTTGGGGTTCGGGCTTAGCCATGCAAGCTCGCCTGCGCGTCTCGGCGAGACAACTCCCCGGCTGCCAGGCCGGTCGCAGCAGCGGTCGCAAGGGCTTAGAAAGCTTTGCGGTTTAGGGTTTGGCGCCGAAAAGCTTCCTATAGGTTCATATGTAAGTGTGTGTATATATATATATATGTATGTATGTATGTATGTATGTATGTATGTATGTAGGGCATTTGGATCGAATGCAGCATTGCTGCACATTGCCGATAGCCCCTGTGTGCAAGCAGCACAGCCTGAGCCATTGGAAAAGCGCCTCCGTCGCCGACGTGGCATCGTAGGGAGCGAGCGCAGAGAGCTCGCCACCGTGGACGAGTGCACGCTGCTCGACGAGCCGGCAAGACCCCACCTTTGAGGTCACTCTTACTGTTGGCAGCTCACCACGCTGCCCCTCAGTACAGAGAGCTTCGAATGGGCGGCAGAGGTCGCAAGTGGCAGACATGGCAAGGTGCCTCGTACTTACCTACTGGTGGATGGCAGCGTGGTGCCTCCAGTGCCAGTGGACAAGGCGGATGGAGGCAAGAGGACCGGCGGAACCAGGAGACGGCGAACGAGCGCGGCGGCAACTTCC